TTGTTTTGTTCTCTCTGGTGTCGTGCTGTGTGCAGGTCTGTGCTTCCCACTGGATTGTGAGTGCATCTCGAAGGCAGCGATTACGTTCTCCTCCCCATACTCCTCACAGAGCCCTTGCCAGCTTTAGCTAGAAGAAAATCACTTGAGTCACACCAAAATGAATTTAACTATCTAAGAGGCACTGGTGCTAACACTGAGGACAACATCTAAGCTTCTGTCTTTGACCTCTAAGGATAAGGAATGTAGCCTAGGAGAAAGCGAGAGGGACCCTGGAGTCTCTCTCGCACACCAAAGCTCCCCCTTGCAACTGGCTTTTTACGGTGTGCTTCCCCTGAAGCCACTGGAATTCTGAGTCTACCAAGCCTCAGTTTAATAAACACTGCTCCGGTGCTCTGGCTTGTGAATGTTTAAAAACAGGGCCGTCTTATTTGTTTCCATGTTCCTAGCACCCAGCGCAGTCCCGGCACAAAGGATGTCCTCAGTGAGTAATTGCTGAATGAATGAAAATAATGAACACAGGCACAGATAAATCTCTACTTTATCAGTTGGAATATCCACACGCTTTCTGGGTCCTCGGCATTTACTTCTTGGGAGAGGGTGGGCAAAAGAGGGCACAAAAGGAAAAAGAGACTGGCATTCACTAAACACAATATGCTTTACGCTCACAGGGCTTTGTCCTTGCCATTTGCTTCCTCACTTAAGTTTGATGTTGTCACAGAGGCCCCGAGAGAAGAGACCCTCAGGGGGAGAGTGGGGCTCCTGCTCATCAGAGAGGGCTACTTCCCATGCTCCGATCACAGAAAGTTCTGTTTCACAGAGAAGATGTGCTTTGTGGGGAGTGGGGGTAGAGGAGTCACCCCCATATCCGGACAGTGAAGTCCAAGGGTTAAAGAAGGCTGCGGAGGTGAGGGCCCAGAGAGAGGCGCACAGGACCAGGTGTCAGGAGACCGCCTGGGAATGGGCCTGCGATGCTGTCTGGCCTCGTCCCCTCATCAGCAGCACCAGTCCGTTTGCTGGGTAAGCTCTTTCACCTCTCCAGGACTCCATGCTCTAGAGAATCTCTTTCCTGTTAAATCCAGCTTGTGTATATTTGTGGAATGAACGAAAGATGAATTAATAAGGGCATAAATGAAGAAGTGAGCCATCCAGGGACGTCTTGGAAACATCTTCTTGTCCTATTTTGCTGCTGTCCTCTTTCCCTCGGTCCCTGACCTCCACCAGGAGCACCGTTACAACTCCTCGCGGCTAGAGGGCCTGCTCACCACTCTGAGGTCCCCATCGGGCTCAAGGGGCCAGGCTCCTGCTCTCTGCCTCTTCTCATCTACCACCTGCTGGACCCCAGTGCCTGGGGGAGTCAGCAATGATATTTCCAGGCAGGGAGCCTACCTTTTAAAACTGAGCATTGCCGACCTGTTGGCCTCTTTTGCCTCTGAATCTGCATGTTATGGTGTAGATGATCCAGCGCCCCAGCTGGACAAAGGCCATTGAGCTGGGTCCCTGGGCAAGGTGGACAGGAGAAAATACGCGAGGAAGGGCCTCTAAGAACAATGCTTGAGTCAGGCCCAGGGGGCCAAGGCTGGTACAGCTCAGGATGTGCTCTCAGAGGACACATGAAGCCAAGAAACAAAGAGGGTTTTAGTCACTTTCTGGTTCTTTGCCATGTTACCAGTTTCTAGATGATGTGTATAGATGAGGAACTATTATAGCAGAGGATGTCTTCCCAGACTCACCAAGAGAGTTCCACCTTCAAAGGCGAGGCTAGACACCCCCACCCATTCCAGGACTCATTACACCGCATTTCAACTATATGCTTACATGTTTACCTCCATCGCTACCCACACCCCAACTTCAACTTCCAATGTCTTAGTCTTCTTTGTATCTCTCCAGGCTCCTAGGCTCAGAAAGCACCTCAGCAATGTTAGCTAAGTTATATATATATATATATTATAAATATCCATATATAATATATATAGCCTTTTAACTTCTATAATAGAAGACCCTGACAGAGAAGTTAGTTAACCTACCCAAGGTTATACAGCCAATTACTAGCTAGGGGAGACAGAGTTAAAAACCAGACTGGGCCCCTCCTTAGCCCTCCCACTAAATGGTGTGAGAAAGAAGCTGATGGAAAGTGGGCAGCAACCAGAACGCCAGGTGCCATGCTATGAGGGGTATTACTATTTCCACTTTACAGATGAGAACACCAAGGGTCAGAGAGGTGCTCTCTGCCTCGATCACTCCTCACTCTTCCCATCCACTCACCCATGGCTGAGTAACAAACCTTCACCCTCCAGGTTCCAGCTTAGATGTCATTTCCCTCAGGAGGCCTTTCTTCCCCAGTCCCCCCAGATTGTGTGGGGGGCCCCTCTTCTGCAGTCCCACAGCCCCCTGTGCTTTTGTCCTTCTGGTGACATTTGTGCCCTGGGCTGTCACTAGTTGTGTCAGTGGCTGTCTCCTTCATCAAACTTTGACCTCCTCAAGGGCAGAGGGCAAGGGCTCTATCTTAAACATATCAAACTCTCACCACCAGGCAAAATGCCTGGCACACAGCAGAACACCAGTGAATAACTGTGGAAGAAATGAGGGAAGGAGGGAAGGAAGGAAGGAAGGAAGGAAGGAAGGGAAGAAGGTTCCCAAAGCCAGAGTTGGGAGGTAGGGAAGTTGAATCCAGGTTGGCTGGTTCCAAAGACTAGATTACAGCTGTGAAAACATACAAATTCCCCTCAGGGTAGAAACCCTTCTATTATATTCTTGTAGATTTGTCTTAGAACTTGGCACATTATCATTCTCCAATCAACAAGTGCTAATCAACGGACTTATTTAAGCTCTCACAGGTCAGGGACGGTTGAGCGTAGTGTTCCAGGATGCCCACGGCCCCTAGAGCACAGGGCACTGCACATGGTCGTGGGTGTTCCACACACACTTGCGGCCTGAGCGGACTTCTATTCAGCCCGTCCACTATGAAGACAATGGTGACTGATCAGGGAAGAGCCCACCACTGGTCCTCAGGCTGGCATTCAAGGCCTGTGGGGTAGGAGAGCCTGGAAAGTTCAAGACACTGAAACTATGGCTGAGGTCAAGTTAGTGTGTTTTAAGACTAAAGAGGCGCGTAATGATGCAAAATGCAAAGTGTCTTATTGCCCCAGAGATCCAGGAGTGGTTTCTGGAGTTTAAGCCCAGTTCATGATCCACAAAACAGGCAGTTTCCCTAGGAGTCAAAACAATGGTGTGGAGAGTTTTTGTTGTTAGTGTGCTTTTTCCCCACAAGAAGTTTACAAAAGGTGTAGCATACAAGGTGCAGTGAAAATAAAAATTATTCCTCTGAAGACCAGGAAACACTTGTTCTTTCTGAAAATTCCAGTTCTCTCCCCATCGCCCACTCCCACTCCAAGACCAACATAGCTTCTGTGAATTTTTGCGGTTAGGGCTTCTTTTTAAGATTGTATTTTGATATAGAATTTTAATAACTCTTTAGGTTGCAGACCACATGTGACCTTTACTGTCACTTCGCACCCCTACAGGCTATGACCTGGGAGAGGGGCCAAGGCAGAGGCCGAGTCGTAAAGTGGGGGAGGTTACCAGCCTAGATATCAGGGGATTTGGTCTGACATGACTTCTGCCTCTGCCTCCCCAGTGACTCTGGGTAAGTCCCAACCTCAGTTTCCCTCTCTGTGACAAAGGCATGGAAAGGCCTCTCAGCTGACTCCCTGAGCCATTCTGAAGATCTACCAAGACACCGCCTCGGGGAGCCACTTTAAGAAATAAAAGGCACCTATGAATATAAGTGAGGTAGGGTAAGAGCACATTTATCTAAACATCAAAGCAGAATGAATGAGGCTTTACATAGAAATCTGTTATCTGATAACACAAACCTTCCTTCTTGAGTGCAAAATTATATTTGATTCAAACTTCGGGAATAGAACTTGTGTTTCTAGACTAGACTGCTCCCATTTTTAAGCAAAAACACTGGCCTGGGGTTATTAATGACTGCCCTCTGGGGATGTGGAGGTTGTAAACCGCTGTTACACTGGTTTCCAGAATACGGACTGGTCTCTGCCTTTTACAATTCTGGATTCTTGTGTTCTGAGAGAGTGTTTCTCTCTTGTTCTCTCTGCTAGGCAGTCATTTCTCCCTGCTGTCAAGGCTGCTGCCTTTCAAATTCCCCGGTTCCTGCTTCTAAGCCACATTAGGTAAGAAAACCTAAAAACCTGGTTTGTTAATATCGCTCGCAGCGTTGAGCCTCTTCAGCTCTTTGGGCAAACCAAAGGAGTTTTCTACATCTTTATGTTAATCCTCCTAAGGTCATGTGCCTCTTGCTCAAAGCTTTTTAGTGTTTCTCATTCCCTCCCAAACAAGTCCGACACCCCAGCTGGCACAGGTTTTCAAGGTCTTCGGCAACCTGTCCTCAAACTACACATGCAGTATCCCTTCTCAGCAGGCCCGGGGCGCTTTCCCACCCTCAGTGGCTGCTGTGCCTTGAGATACCCCCGCCCCTCAAGGCCTGCTTCAAGGCCCACCTCCTCCCGGGAGTCTCCCTCGGCTACAGACAACCTCTCCAAACTCTGAACTCTCCCATTTTATCCGCAACCCCCTGTGGCATTTATCGTTTCTGACTTAAAGTAATACACCTTTTAAGGACCATGTCTAGTTCTCTTCACGTTCCTGAAACTGCCTTGGAGAGGTTTCCTTCAACCCCTGATGGTGCCTCTTGCTGAATGAGTGCAGAAATGAGTGGTGGCCGTGCGCCACATTTCTCCATGTTCCCCACTGGGTTCTAGGGAGCTAAGGCTGCTGCACTCAGGAGCTCCTATCAGATTCGCTGTGGGAGGGGGGTGGCTCTACCTTGGGGTGACTGCCGAGCCAAGCCTCTGCCTTTCCCTAGTCTCGGGGGGCGCACTGGCCCACCTCTGCCCCGTGCCCTCCTGGGAGAAGAGCTGCACCAAGTCTTCCCCCCCCCCCCCCGCCGCGTGGAGAGGTAGGTGGCCTGCTGGGGCACTCACCACTGCCAAGCCTTAGGAGCAGCACGTCCTGGAGCCTCCGGTTGAGGTCGCGGAGCTCCTTCATTTCCGACACGAGTGCCCCGTACTCCTTGAGCTTCTTGGCCTGCTGGACCAGCTGCCTCCGAGTCCGCTCCAGCTCCTGCTGGAGGTGGCGCATCTCCTCCTGCTGCTGCTGGTAATTGCGCAGCAGCTCCTCGTACAGAGCCCGGGGCACGACGGCATCCTCCAGACTGTCCATGTCCTCCGTGCCCGGAGAGGCCTCCACGAAGACCTCCTCTGGACACGTGCTGTGGCCCAGGCTCAGGCCGTTCTGCTTCTCCAGCCGGGCCACCACGGCCTCAATGCTCTTATGCGCCACTTCGCTCGGCTTCCGCCCCTCGGGTCTCTGTGTAGGACAACGAGAATCAGTTCAGGCAAGGGCAGCTGGGACTTTCTTGGACTGCGGCTCAATATTTCCCCAGACAATCCTAGAATCACAGAACCACAGAACATCAGTGCTTGGAGAAACCTGTGCGAACACTTAAGTCAAACCCTTTCATTTTACAAATGGGGAACCGGAGATTTGGGGTGGGGAGGGGCGTCTTGCCTAAGGTCACATGGTCAGTTGGTGGCAGAGCCAGGACTCTGGTTTCCCAGGCCGGTGCTTTTTCCATTCCATCGCTCTGCCTCCCGGGTGCAAATTCTACCATGCCCACCCTCCCCAACTCCCCAGCGCCCACCCCACCCATAGGGCCTAGGCAGTGACTTGCTCACAGGGGGTGTTCAATGTATATTGGCAGAGAATCTGTGAGAAATCAGGCCAGGCCAAACCATCCCAGGGGAGTCAGCACTCAAATCTCTTCAACAACAAAAACATAAAAGGCAAAACACCCCAAGAAAAAACAAAACACCCCTCCCCCCACCACACAAAAACCAAAGTAAACTTTTCCTCAAGAATGCTTTCATTGGGAAGGACGCTAAGAACTCTAATCTGTTCTAATCTAGGGCAGGAGCCATGTCTTATTTCCTCTGCTTCTCCACTGTCTACTCAGAACTGGCACTTGGCAGGGGCTTGATAAATGTTTACTTAACTGAAAAGTTCAAAGAATGCTGGCACTGGAAGTTCCTTCAGTTTAACTCCCTCATTTGCCAGGTGAGGACACTGAGGCTCCCAGAGGGGAAGGACCGCGCCTGCGGTCACGTGGTGAGCCTGCAGACGAGCAGGTCCTGAACCTAGAGCCCCGCTTCCAGCACGAGGCCCCTCCCCCACATCAGCTAGCCTCCCCTTGGACTCTCGCCAAGTTGAAGCTCAGCAAGACGGTGGGTATACAGAGCATAGTTCATTGAGAAGAAAATTATCCAGACTATCTAGGGGCTGGGGTTCCAGCTGCCTGAGGAAATTTCAGCTCAAGAAGACAAAGCTTCCATTGAAGGGGGGGGTGGGAGTTACAGGCCCAACTGAATTCCTAACTCAAGGCAGGAGGGCCAGGAGCTCTCCTGATTGGGGCACTTGTGGGAGGTGCAGACAACAGGACAGCGGATTCCAGACAAATTAACCGCGTCAGGTCGAGCCTGCCTTAACCTCTCGATAAGTTTCTGGGTGTTTAGTGAAAAACAAAAAACAAAAAACAAAAAACAAAACATGATTCTGAGATGGAGTTACGTGACAAAAATCCTATCCTATCATTTTTATCCATCGGGATAAGGTGCTGCTAGTTTAGATGAACTTATCCACTAAAATCGTACTGATCACGTGAGATCACTGCATCACTACACTGTGAGACCGCTAAGGGGAGTGACCATGTCGGCCTAGTCTGTGACCCCAGAGACCAGCACAGGGCCAGGCCCACAGCACGGGTGCAATGAATGCATCACCTGAACCTCGCTGCATCTTTTGGACTATGCCTTGGGGATGTCTTCGACCTTGTGTCCAATATCAGGCCATGATCAATGAAGAAGGCAGCCTTCTTTCTCTTCCCTTCCTCTGGGGTACCGATTGTACAGAAAAAAACATCTGGCTTGTTGAACAAGATATTCAGTGGGTTTACAAGTGAAGGCTGGAGACCAATTGAGCAGCACATCAAAGGAAATGCTACTTCATGTAAAAGTTTTCTTCCAATCCAGGGTCCACAAACTCCTTTGTGTAAAGCTGGCACATTCTGCTTCCTATCGAGTCTACCCTTAGCTGTTCGGGGCAATCTGATAGTGACTGGCTCTGAACTGCTGCCTGAGAATGGCTGTTTCATATTCCTGGAGCTCAGAGCTGTAGGCCAGGGAGGAAAGCCAAAAGCACTGTTGCTTTCCATTGCCTAGATAGGGCAATCGGGCAGTGCGAGGTGGCGCAGCATGAGTCAGGGCTCCTGGAAAGCTGGCCAGCAAGGCAAATGCATACTAGTTGTCCCAAGACTCTCCCAACCTGAAAAAAATCCCCAGGGGACATTTCTATGGGGAGAAGAGGCCAGACTGGAACTCTTTAGCTATCAAGACTCTGACAATGCCCCCATGAACTTCCAAAAAAAGGGAAAGATTTTGTTACCTTGATGTGTCTAAGCTGTAAATCTTCTTCCCCATAATCTTTAACCTCCCCATCTTCTTCTACGTGATTGAGAGAAAGTTTGGGGATTTTTATTTTCTTCTGCATCACACTGTTTTCAAGGTCAGATTTGTCTTCTAAAATGCATATCAAGAGAACAAGATTCATTATGAGTCAAAATGCTCAAAATACCCATAACCTCAAATGCTAGAGAACGATTGAGGCCAGACCAGTTAAAAAGGAAAAGCAAACAAACCCAAGACCTGTCCCACCTGCATGCAGGGCTCCTAAAAGCAGCAGTGCTGGTCAAGCTCTAGGGTCAGAGGTATACGCTATAAGCACTGAAATCGTGTCCAATGATTTTGCTTAGGGGTTTCACCAAGTATACCTTAAAGGGTGGCCTTTTATGGAATCTTGGAACTGGAGTGGCCACTAGATTGCTATTTGGTCTAAACTAGCCCATGGATCCCTGAACAACCAAGATCTTTCTAAGTAAGCCAAATGAATTCCCAGGAAAATGTGGTGTTTTTTTGCCAGTTCAGGTGCCAATAAGCATGAAAGGGACAATGGCTCTTACAGAGGTAGAGCCTCCCCACAGTCCTGACATAGGACAGGCTGAGGTTAAGACAGAAGAAGAGTTAACACGTAACACTTACTGCCTTTTTACTGGTATCAGATCACAGAATGACAGAGGTTGGGGGGGTCCTGTTGACCAACTGGTCCAATCTCCCATTTTACAGATGAGGGAACTCAGACCCAGAGGACAGAAGGGGCCTGGCCAAGGTGGGAGTCTGAGGAAGAGCCAGGAGTCTCGCATCTCACCCAGTGTTTACGTGTGATAACCGTACACACCGAAATGAACTACAAACTGGAAGGTGCTACACAAATACAAAGGGATGACTTCTCCTCACTTTCTCATTCTTTGAGCTCAACTTCAGACAATCTAAAAGAGAACTTTTTTTCCTCCTGCACAGATGTCAAACTTTATTTTCCAGATCTGTCTTTCACTGTAGATGTCAAAAGGAAAAATTCAAAGAGGAGAGTTCTAAAGTAGAAACTTGAACGTGGAACTGGCCCCTTGTGGTAAATAGGTTGGAGTCTTGTGTTCTGGGCTTGAACTGAGACTCTGGGAATTACTGTTTCTTTGATTCCTCAAAGGTCCCCACTGCTATATCCCAAATGCACTTTCTAGCATGTTGCCCAGTGCTGGATGTGGCACATGGCCAGGTAGCTGGTTGAACACAGTCTCTGAGGGTCTTTATGTGAGTGTGTGTGTGTGCATGCATATGTGTGTGCATTAAACATGCTCTTACACTTCCCCCAAGCCAGGCTTCTCTTTTCACAACTTGTTAGTAAAGCTGAGAAGGAAGCTTATAAGCACACAACTATTCTAGAATGTAGTCAAATGCCACATCTTCCCAAACAGTCTTAGGAAGGGAGCCCCCGCTGGAGAGGGGTGGGACTCTGGTGCCAGAGAGACCTCAGTGGGAACCTCTTGCATGGCAGGGCAAGGAGGGAGGTGCGAGGCCTTGGTCTCACGGAGCTCTGGTGCCTGCTCTATAATGGAGCTGGGGGGACGGCAGCACTAATTCACATAACTCACTGCACAGTGCCCGGTATACATTAGGCTCTCAACAAACACAACATTAAGACTGACACCATCAACATGCTCGGTATCGTTTTTATTTCCTTAAACAAAAGGTGAATAAAGATACAATTTTAAAAAATAAAGGAATGACCTAAGGGCGTAGAGTACCCAGGAAAAACGACTAGTCTTTGTTGACAACCCTCTCGTGATCAGAGGTGAAAACAGCCTTTCCCACTTACTGGAGGAGCAATTCTCAGGTTCTGTTTTCACAAGAAAGGCCTGTTTTTGTCCTCTTTGTGCCTATAAAATACACCCAACGAGTTGGGCCTGAACAACAGCAGGGACTGTGGTCTTTCTAAAAGAGCAGCAGCTTCTTCCTCCTACAAATCATTGTAGACTCCAAGTCAAAAAGCTGCTAAAATATAACTGCTTCAAATGAAGTTATCCCAAAACGGAGGATGAGAAGGTGGTGTTAGGACTTCTGAATGTGTTGGGGCAAAGCTCCTGAGCTAGTTGTCAGTTTGACAAATTCAAGGGCAAAGGTTTGAGATGTAGACACCCAACTAGAAATGACAAGCTAGGCTCTGCCTCCCTGAGCTGAAACTCTGGAGCTCAGGAGCATGTTGACTGGAGAGAGGCAATCATTCAGACGCACAAAACTAGGTAATATTTGCACTGAAAACAATCCTCAGATCATCTCGTTCAACCCTTTCAAAATGCAGGTAAGGAGACTGAGGCTCCAGGTGAAGCTCCCTCACTCATCCACTCAACGACCAGGCTCAGGGATGCAGGAAGAGAAGCACAGGCAGGGTGCTCATTCTGGAGGGCTCACTAGTTGTGCAAGGTCACAGAAGTTGGTGTCAAAACATGAATAGTATGAGAACCCAGACCCTGTAACCAGCATCCAGAGCATTTCCTCCTATGCCTCAGTGTAACATTTACTGAGAATTTACGCTTACAGGTTCTAGCCTGGGCCCCAGAACACGGAGCATGAGCTCCCAGTTGTGGGGGCACAAGAAAAAAACCAATGAAAACAATAATCCAAGATCTCAAGTAGTGAGTCTGAATAAGGGGGAAGCGACTGCTATAGGATCTCAGGGGCAAGGGCGATCACTTTGGTCAGTGCAACCACGGCAGGCTTTTGGGAGGAGATGGCATTTGAGCTAGACTCCTTACTTACTGAGTGATCGTGGGTAAGTGACTTTATTTCTCTGATCCCGCTTCCTCATCTGTGCCTCAATCACTCTGCCAGGATGCTGTGAAGACGACCAGTTCTGTATCAGGTTCTATTAAGTACTTGAGGGGAGTGAATGGTACTCGGGCAGTCAGTGCTTAGAAAAGGAAAAGCCATTTAAGGATGGTAAGAATCTGGAACACACAAAAGGGACAAAGACTAGAAGCTAAAAAAGGAAGGTTGGGAAACTATTTAGACTGGAATGGTTATAAAAACATGGTTCAGTTACAGGCAGGAAAAAGAGGCAAGGAAGGAAGTTAAGGCAGTTGGGGCTTAGAGAATAAATGGCCTTGAATGCCAAGGTAAGAAACTGAGGTCTGGCCAACAGGTGTGGAAAAAACTAGGAGTCAGGCAACCCGGATTCTAAGTCCAGTCCTGCCACTTGGTGGGGTAAGAAGTCAGGCAAGCTTGCGATGTCAGTGAGTGTCATTTTTCTTTTTCTGCAGAAATGGAGATATAATGTGTACCTCAGGTAGGATCAAATCAGCTAAGTAAATGTGCCTTGAAAGCAAAAGAGCCCTGTATGTATAGTGGATGGCAAAGCTCAGTAGAGCTTGCTGCTGGCTCAGAGCCTGCTGTCCGCTTGCTTTTTTCAGGTGGAGACCTGCCCCACTGCCTGCCTGCAGTGCTCCACTCCCTACCTGATACCAGGAGGCCCCACCCCCACCAGCTATACCCAAGGCTCCATTCTCTTCCATGTAACATTCCAGAACTCCTTTCTTGTCTGCTTGACAAACTCCACTCAGCCTCCACTCATCTCCTCCTTCTTCCTCAGAGGCCACAATACACAATGTACATACCTCTCTGTAGCCTCTTTTCTTACTATGTTGCAGTCATCTGGTTTGAGGTCTACCTTCCCCACTGGAGTGTGAGTAACATCAGGGCAGGGCCCATATCCTAGGCCTGGCCATACAATAGGGACTCCTCGAGCAAAAATGTTTACTGGAAGAATAATAAAAAAGAGGCTACACCAACGAGGAAGTGAAAAGGTGCTCACAATAATCAGTCACTAGGGAAATGCAAATCAAAAACATGATGAGATACCACTTCACCCGAAGATGGCTATAATCAAAAAAAGAAAGGAACAGAGAAGAAATGCCACAAGTGTTGGGAGGATGTGGAGAAACTGGAACCCTCATTCATTCCTGGTGGGCATGTAAAACGGGGCAGCCACTGTAACAGGTTAACAATCCTCAAAATGTTCAATACAAAATTATCACATGACCCAGCATTCCACTTCCGGGTATACACCCAGGAGAAATGAAAACATACCTACCAAAAACTTGCACATGAATGTTCACAGCAACACTCTTCATAATAGGTAAAAGGTGGAAACAACTCAATTGTTTATCAGTTGATGAATGGATAAAAAAATGTGGTATATCCATGCAATGGACTATTACGCAGCCATAAAAAGAAATGAAGTATGATAGATGTTACAGTATGATGAATCCTGAAAACATTATGCTAAGTGAAAAAAGCCAAACACAAAGTCCACGTGTTGTCTGATTCCAGGTGTGTGAAATGCCAAAATAGGCAAATCCATAGAAAGGAAGTAGATTAATGTGTGCCAGGGCCATCGGGTGAAGAGGCAATGAGAAGTGACTGCTTAGTGGGTCACAGGGATTTTCTGTGTATGTGTATGTGTGTGTGTGTGTGTGTGTGTGTGTGATGAAAATGTTCTGGAACTGGAGAGTGAAGATGGCTGCAGAACACTGAATATACTAAGAACCACTGATTGGTACATACTTCAAAATGGTTCAAATAGTGAATTTTATGCTATTATACTTCAACTAAAAAACAGGCTACCACTTGTAGAATGTCTACTACCTATTAGGTACCACCATAAGGCTCTTCGCTGATACTACTACACGTCACAACAACCCTGAAATTAAGTATTATTAGCCACATTTTTTTCCCACTAAAAAAGAAATGAGACTCCAAGAAGGCCCAAAGCCACCCGGATGGGAAAGTACAGAGCCAGAATTTGATCTAGGTCTCTCTACCTCCTAAGTCCACATTTATCCTCTAAACACAGCCCTGCAACACGGCAGAACCAGCATAAATGCTGAATGAATGAATGATGGCTATAGATGAAAACATCCAAATTCCGCAGTCCAAAGATCAAAGTAGAAGACCACTTTACTCCCACTCTCCTGCCAGATGCCTCTCTCCTCAGGAAGTCCCCAGAAAGTAGTGACCATCGCCAGACATAACAGAAACAGGTTGTAGCCGGGCCTCAGGGCTTGGAAGAATTCTTTGAAAAGGTAGGCTCAGCAGTGCAGGAAGATCTGAAATGACAAGAGTGAGTTCCA